TATGTGACGGATCGAGTGATGACCGTCTCATTCCATAAGTTCGGCAAAAACTTCTTCCCCGAAACGGGAGACCTGAAGGACATCGGAGCCGAAAGAGGCAAATACTATGCCATTAATGTTCCGCTCAATGATGGCATCGACGACGAGTCCTACGAAAGCATTTTCCAACCCGTTATTTCAAAGGTAGGAATTTAGTAGTACTAACTGTTGTTTGTATACAGTATTGATAATTGGGGAACCAATAGGTGATTGAGACGTATCGGCCAAATGTGATTGTCCTCCAGTGTGGGGCCGACTCTCTGACCGGCGATCGTTTGGGTGTATTTAATCTGACTCTTAAAGGACACGGAAAATGTGTGGAATTTGTCAAAGGCTTTGATATTCCGCTCCTGATTCTGGGCGGCGGCGGCTATACTAAGAAGAATGTGTCCCGTTGTTGGACACACGAGACCGCCATTACTCTCAACATGGAGTTACCCAATGGTAGGCGTCTTGGATTCATTTGAACCACAATTGATTTGAATCGCTTGTTATCATAGATTTACCTCAAAATGATTATTTCGATTATTACGGACCGGACTTTAAGCTACACATCAGTCCCTCGAATGCATTCAATCAGAATCCATATCAGAATTTAGAGAAAATTAAGTAATTGTTATTTGAATGAAAAGAATACCCAAATTCTTACTGAATGAATGCTTTGCACCCAAAAAGGAGTACAATATTTGAGAACTTGCGGACACTAACACACGCGCCGTCCGTACAAATGAAAGACATTCCCAACTTTACGCTCATTAGAGACGAGACCATTGATGAGGATATGGAGGACCCGGAAGAGAGGATCAGTCAACAGAGATCTGACGCTCACATACAGCCTGACAACGAGATGTCGGACAGCGAGGACGAGGGCGACGGCCGACGCGATGAGACCAGTCATCTGCCGACTCAACCAAAGAAGCAAAAAGTCGAGGACACGGCGACACCCGTTGACGAAACGAAACCACAATTAGTGCTCACGAGTAATGGTATTAACATTTTATCAAATACTGAGTC